GACTTCATCATTCCACGAAAACTATTATTTTTAAAGTTTTCACTGTTCTCTCAATTGCAAAATCCCATGGTTTTTTCTTAATCCTCATTCTCCTAGACCCCTCTGCAGCCTTTGACACTGCTGATCACCATCTCCTCCTGATAATCTCTTCTCTCTACGTTTTTGGGACATCACTCTTTCTTAGTTCTCCCACATATATGACCTCTTCTTCTCAGTCTTCTTTGCTAGATCCTCATCTAGATCATGCCCTCTAACCATAGGTGTCCCACAGCATTCAGTCCTGGGCCCTCTTCTCCTTTACACTACTTCATTTGGTCATCTCATCAGCTTCCATGGATTTAATTATGATGACCATTCTCATATCTACCTATCCTGCCTTAACCTCTCTGCTACCCTCCCGTCTCACATCTTCAACTGCCTATTAGACAGGTGGAATTGATGTCCTGCCACCATCTTAAACTCATTAAGTCCAAAATTGAACTCATCATCTTTCCCCCTCATAGGCTCCACCTTTCAAACTTCTCTATGACTCTCAAAGACACCATCCTCCCAGTCCCTCAAACTCATACCCTAGGTGCTATCTTTGACTCCTCACTATTTCTCACTCCCGCACCCCCATAACCAATCTGCTACAAAGGCCTGTGGATTTCAACACCTCTTGGATATAGCTCCTCCTCTCCTCTAATGCTGCCACTCCTCTGGTACAGTCCCTCATCACCTTATGCCTGGACCATTGCAATAGCCAATTGTGGGCCTGCCTGCCTCAAGTCTCTCCCCACTTCAATCTGTCTTCCATTCAGCCATCAAAGGGGTTTTCCTAAAGCACAGGTCCGACCAAGTCACCCACACCCACACACTTAATAAACTCCAGTGCTCCCTTTCACCTTCAGAATCAAATACAAAATCCTATGTTTGGCATTCAACGCCTTTCATAACTTAATATAACCCTCCCCCCCCACCTTTCCAGTCTTCTTATATATTACTCTCCAACACATACTCTTTGATCCAGTGACACAGGTCTCCATTACTGTTCCATGAACAAGGCACGCCATCTCTAGGCTTCAGGTATTTCTCTGGCTGTCTCCCATGCCTAGAATGTTTTCTTTCCTCATTTCTGCCTACTGATTTCCCTGGCTTCATTCAAGTCCCAATTAAATTTTCACCAACTATAGGAAACCTTTCCCAACCCCTCTTAATTCCAGGGCCTTCCCTCTGTTAATTATTTCCTATTTATCTTGTATATAGCTTGCTTTGTATATATTTGTTGTGAGCTCCTTGATGACAGAGACTATCTCTTTTTTTTAGATATTTATTTATTTTTAGTTTGCAACATTCACTTTTATAAGATTTTGAGTTTTAAATTTTCT